AGAAGATGAAGAAGATGAAAAAGAAGAAGAAGAAGAGGAAGACGAAGAAAAAGTAATAATAGGAATAATAATAAAAAAATAAAAAATAAAAAAAAATAATAATAACGAGCACAGTAGCAACAGCAGCAGTAGCATCATTATCATCATCATCATAAAAATAATAATCATCATCGTCGTCATCAGCACCATGAATCTGTCGTCTGCATCTCCCGCGTGCAGCGTGCGGCGAAGCCGCGCGTGAGGGAGTAGTCTAGACCGCCGTCAGTAGACGTTATGGCGCTCCTCAAGTTCAAATTACCTCGCCAAAGTCTTGCTCAGCTTAAACTAACTGAGAGATGATTTTGCGTAGGGACGCGTTGCCATCGTTACGACAGAACACGCGTCCGGCTGATCATGCGCAGTCACATTAATGCAACAGCTTCCCGTTCCCGGCCTCCTCCATCTTCCACTCATCTTCCTCCCTCTCCCTCCTCCCTCCTCCTCCTCTTTCTCCCTCCCCCTCCTCTTCCTCCCTACCCCTGCTCCCCCTCAACCAACGTAGCGGCTTCCTTCGTCGACAGCGGGCTTCTTCAAACGGAGAAGCTGGGAACTCATTCCGTCAGCCTCATGACGATTGTTCGCTAATGGCTTCGCGGAGGCAGCAGGAGTAGCGGCCAGGTTGGATGTTGCCGATGGGGAGGGATGCTGAGGCAGGGAATGAGTGAGTGAAGATGTTGAAGCCCAGCTGCTGCCCGCCTCAAGCGCATCGATCCGTCTCTAATTGTGCCTTTTTGGCGCGCGGTACTGATGAAAGAGTGATGCTGCTCATTCTTCTCCCCCTCCCCCATTCCCCGCTCACAGCTATAATATATACGCACGCACGTACACACGTACTTACACACACACACACGCGCGCGCACACAAACACACACACACACACACACACACACACACATACGTACACATGAACGCAGGTACGCACGGGCGCACACACACACACACACACACACACACACACACACACACACACACACACACACACATGCAGTCTGCAGTTTGCGCTATTCGCAAATTGAGCACCGACACGTATACATGTGTGTGTGTGAGTGTGTGTGTGTTTGATGGTATTATGCATTTTTGTATACGTGTATGTACCAGATGCACGTATGTGGGCATGTATCCATGTATTATATGTGATATGACAACGAGCTGTATAACGTTGTAGCATGGGTACGTATATACGCGCAGCTGCAATGCATATTACACACTCGTCTGTCATGTGTATTGAATAATAAGGAGTGATGGTAAGGCAAACTATAATAAATAAAAGTGTGTTAATAAACAACAGTATTCTGTAAGGAAACCTTTTGTTGTATCGAATATGATTGTACGCATACGCACGCACACATGCGACGCGACGCGCACGAATAGTATAGGTAGTTTATCGTATGTAGTATATAGTGTATAGTATGTACAGTAGTATATAGCAAGTAGAAGTCGTAGGTAAGTGTCAATAGAAAATCTCTAACTACACACATCAATAGAGAATTATTCCTCGCGTGCACTTTACGGGATACAAACCCATAATTCAAAATAATTAATATGAGTATAAAAATTATGCATTATGTAATGCGCTTCACTTAACTAATTGGCCGTATCCGTAATTTTATTATTTCGAGAGCGATAGCTCGATGGGAAAGTCTCATTATTGCATTACTGGTCATATAGAAAGCCTTGTCATGCGTATAGATCTGGGTCACGCTGAGAGTGTTACAGATTTCAGGCATACCCGCACAGTGAAAGTTTTAGCGGAAGCTGTGGTGCACTTGCTACCACTAGTGGGTCTTGTGTGGAGTGCATTGGCCATCATGTATGTTACATAAGCCGAGACAAGTGTGTTTGTCTACGCGCGTGCTAATGGCTCCTGTCTTATATGGTGCACCGGAAACGGTCGGGTGGGGGCATATCCTTAGCAATCTAGTTGCAGAACAATACATGTGCTCACTTAGTTGGCACGTGCTTGAATATATTATATATAGCATCACAACACACACACACACACACACACACACACACACACACACACACACACTCACACACTATTTAGTTTCACCATCATTTCCTTTCCTTATTATGCCAACAGCTTAGATCGCCTTACCACCTATATTCTACGTAATGAATTGGAATTATCATGTTTGCTTCCAGAAACTGACGTTATATCACACAAACTCGAAGAAATGCATCCAGGTGAAAGATGACAGAAAGAGCATGTTCATGGAGGAATGCAACGCATCCCCGCAACAACAGTGGAAATTCGAAAGCACCGGATGGAGGAAATCTACCGTCAAATGATCGCATAAAGTAACGACGATTCGTTTGCAGCTAGGCACTGGGGAGTCAGGTCGGCGTGCGCCAAAATGCCGTCGTTTACCGTTCGAGTATCTGGACCGACGCCGTGTTGGTCTACGTGAACGGCTACCCGCATATTGCACGTTCACCTGTAGATCACGCACGGCGTTTCCGCAAGAATCCCGGATAGCCCCCCAAAGCTATGACGCTGCGAATAATGTGCAGTTGTGCTCGCCCTGCCTACGGTCGCCGGACGGTGGCGGCAGCACTTGTCTTCCGGTTGTGGAGTGCGGTGCGAATAACGTCTATCCTCTATAATGGGCATCCTCCGCTCAACATAGTCTGTTTGCCTTCATATCTCCGTGTACGGCCGTCTCACTCTCTAGGCGGCTCTCGGAACAAGTTTGTAAACGGGTATATTTTCACGCGTACGTACGTATATAATATCCCCCCCCCTCTGTCACCACTAGTATCCTCGGTTAGTTCCCTATACCGTGTGCCGCACTTCCACCACACATTGCGCATCGTCGTGATATTTGCACTATAGTTGGCTATACTGATGTCACGTGTGATATATAAACTCCGCAGAGAGTTCCGATACCAAATACCAGATTGCCTGTTGTATGTGTTGTGCGCGCGTTTTCACCAAAAACACTTGTGTTTCAATTTGCAGCGGTCACGTCGGTCATGGCTGCATATAGTTATATACGAATGAAGCAATACGACTATATCGTCTATTTATTTGGGCGAGTTTATTTACTCGGTAAAACAAACGGCACGTGTCCCCCGCACTTATAAATAGTCGTGTCATAATGTGGACATGATGACGTTTGCGTGTTTCTGATATGGTCCATTCCCATGCGCACAGACGGAAGCCATATAGAAAGCAATATTGAGGAAAGTCTCATTGACGGGCAGTTGTAAAGGGAACCAAATAAGGAGTTGTTCCCTTATTAAAAGCTGGCAATCGTGAGGTAGTAGAATAGAGAATAAATCATCTATATTTAAAACTATGCACTTTGTGATGATTAGGTGATAGGTAGATTAAGAGAAAGTTTAGGGTCTGGTTACGAGAAATGTTAAGCTGCAATTATCAAGTTAGTTCATAGACTCGTTTGCGGTAATGATATGTAAATATCGTAAATCGTTATGCTGTTGTCATGCATGTTACGTAATTGTGCCTCGAACTGTTACGCATGCATAAACACGCAAAGATACTTTGCATAAGACATGCTGACGTTCTATTAATGATCTTGGGTGTTCTCTATACTCTCGTTCGTACGTTTTACAGTCGACTTGTCTCTCTAAGCCTTATTAACGACTGGGTGAGCGCGTATGGTCTACATTCTTGTTATAGTCCAACGTTCGCATATTAATCAAATGTACGGTTGTTCGTACCGTGGTGCCTTATAACGATTGTGATAGGGAATTGTGTCTATACTACTAGCCAGCGTAACTGGTCGGTAGCCGGTGCATAAGCTGCGAATGCGGATTGCACTTAAGTAGAGGCTACACCGGTGATTTTGATTCTTCTCTATCGTTCCCGAAAGTGGGCGCCACGAGCAACTATATGCGAAAATGCAGATATCCCTTGACGTATTGAAGCGTCTATACAGATACCCGGAGGGGAATGTATCTTTTTTGGTACATATTTCTGAATGTGCACCTTCAGTGACATACTGCATCCACGACCGACTTATTACAATCTGTGCGGCCGTGGCCTGAGTAGCTGTTCGTCTGTACGGTGGGGGACGGGCGCAAGATTTCGTGACATATAACCGTGTAGTGACAATTGTGTTCATTCATTCAATTTTTTCAGGAGATGAAGAAATAGTCCATAATTTGTAGGATGATATTGTGCTAAAAGGTTCAATATGTTTTATTATTTATTACATTATTTTACGTCTTTGGATTAATTACATTTATTATGCATATTTTAATTTTCCTCAAAATCTTCGCGGGAACAACCGCCTGCTTGCCCCCCACCCCGGAGGCTACGGCTCTAAACCTGGTCTGTGTTTGGAATCTGTACAATAAATGATTGTAATAGTCTTTCTTTTCTTTTTCTTTTTTTCTTCTAACAATTTTATTTATTTCGCCTCGTTCGACGGCATTCATTTTTCTCTAGTCCGTTATAAACGTACGCGAATGCAACCGTCTAGAAGACACGAATACGGCATGTACATACGTACACACATACACACACACACACACACACACACACACACACACACACACACACACACACACACACACACACACACACAC